TGAGAGCAATGTTGGGATCTCTGATGTAACTGGAATTACTCCCCTCTGAAGACAAACCCCTCTGGCGGAGGTTTTAAAAGACGTTACTTCCTGTTCAACTTCCTATTTTGCCGGTAGTCACCTCGACTAATAAAAGCTAGATGCTAAAGCGCTTCCAGCTGACGACTAGGCTAAGTAGTGACCAAATCCCTCTGGAGAAGTCTGCGTTCATTGGTCCGAGTCAGACTGCTTTTGCTGCGATTCAGAAGAAGCTGAACCCAGAGTTTTTATTCTTCCTGCAATTCAAACCGATTTGAACGCAGTGTTCCCTGTAGCCTGCTGCAGCAGAGACAGAGAAGAGTTAATATATCTATATCCATCTCTATATCTCTTTAACTCGCAATCTTTTGTGTTTATTTTACACTGTGAACGATTTATCACTCAGGTTTGATTCCCTCTTCTTTCAGTAGCATCTGAATGAACAGAGACACATTTAGTTGTTTGGTGATTAATAACGTTGCTGATAACCATAGCCTAAATTACTAAATTGGTGAAAGACAACGGAATTTTTAGCAGCCGGATTAAGGAGTCCAACCTTTTCGGTAAGAGGCTAAAAAAAATGGTTAGTAAGCAAATTACAGCTATAATCATTCAGCTGATAATAGTTAATTAGTTTTACCCTTGATGACCTATTAATTAACTATAACTTCCACTTCTGGTTATTTAATATATTCATAATCTGGTAAACTCTCACAACAGCAACCAGAACCAGAACCCCTAATTTAAAATGCTACTAACAGCGTAAAGTTTCTCCCAGTACTGAATGCTGGATTTTACTAAAAACAAACAGCTATATCACAATTAATGTCAACTTCGCTGAAAATAAATAACTTTTCTTTTTTTTATTCGGCTAACTGTAAAAATAATTTAGCCCTACAAGAGAAAACTCTGTTTTTTTAAGAAAATGGCCACTTGATGCTGAATGGAAAAGCCTTCGGTTGTTGAAATCTATTATAAGATTTCTGGAATAAAAGGTTTTTGCGCTGCAAGATTATTGTATCTCTGCTATAAAACTACAAATATGTTAATATTAAGAATAAGAACAAGTTGCTGAGGAAGGTATGTTAAAAATGAATGGCTACAGTAGCGACAGATTCAGACAAAAGCATTGCAGTTAAATTTTCTACAGACAACTGAATGACTTAAAGAGGAAACAGGAAGAATAAAAAAAAAATGATATGTGTCCTTTATTATGAAAACACATATCTTGTCTTACATCAGTGGCAGTTTCTTATTAAATACAAGGGGGGCTAAACCTCTTAAGCTGCGTCCAGCTTACCTATTTGCTCATTTCACTCACCTGCCTAACTCTGCCTGGTTGTTAATTATCATTCATTCTATCCACCTGCTCCTGCTGCTTTATATACGGCTCAGCCCAGCTATGGGGGCCAGATCATTGACTTTTAGTTTTTACTTTCAGTGCGACATCTTGGCTGATGTCCTGGGGTCTTGTCATCTCAGAGGTCAGTGGTTAGAGATGATTTTTTTAGTCATGTCTTGCGTTTCGTGATCGTGTCCTCGCTCTTATAAATACCCCACTGATCGTATTTATTCATGATTAAAAGGAGTTTTTCTCTTCACTGTCGCTACAAGCACGCTTGGTGTGAGGGATCGCTGAAGAGTCAATGAGTTGATGCAATCAGCCTATCAGGGAGTATCAAGATGGCGGCAAGTGACTTCAGTTCTTTCGGTCTATCGGCTATCCAGTGAATTAATAGAGATCAGTGGCCTTCCACCCATTTTGCATTTGAATCAGATACTTTGATGCTCAAAAGGCGCCTAGTCTGAAGCTGGCTGTTCGATGCTGATTGGCCGACATACTGAAGGATTTCTGACTGACAGTGGCCAAACAGCGAGGAGGTTTTCCTCATGAGTCCAAATGTGATCATTCAGTCAGAGCAGTCTACTGGTGCTGAACTGTTGCTGTGGATTCTAGAGTTTATTATTCCAGAGTGCATTTGGATTTAATAACACCACTGAGCCTCTCCTGATTAAGAAAGCAGCAGCCGCCACTGATTTACATATAATTAAAATCAATACAGATGTAATAAAGATGAACTGCAAACTGCTTTGAGTCCTGATTTAGGAAAAAAAATGGTATCCTTCCAAAGTAAGTCACAGTTAAGGCCCTGATCTAATCTGCTTCCTATTCTCCAGAGAAGTTTCTGCAGTAATGAATCATCACTGTGGTGAATCAGACTGTGACAGGAAGCTGGTTTCATCAAGGTTAGAGTCAAAGAACAGCTTCAGACGCAGCAGATGTTCCAGCTTAGAAATGATGCTCACCTTTGAATTTTTCAGCCAGATACATTCAGGTTGTCATCATCTGCCAAGCTGAACTCTAAGATCCTGAAGCGCTGATAACGCAGCATAAATGTGAAGTAAAGGAATAAACTAGTTTTGTATTGGAGCTGCTGAAACAGGCTGCAACTGTACCTGAGTCAGCCGGAGGGCTGCTGCTTCGACCTGCTTCTTCTGGCTGCCGTGTTCAGGGTTCAAACCAAAGCTCTGCACGTTTCCAGCTAAGACAGAGACCTGATCCTGAGGAGGCTGTAAGCTGCTTTATTTTTCAGCTACCATGTGAAGCAGACTTTGAATCAGACAGATGGAGAAAATAAAGGTTCTCTAAAATAACATTAAGCGGCTTGCAACAGAAAGTTCAGAAGATCTGCTGTATGAGCAGACCTGCAGCCAGCATGCACAGAGGTGGAGAGCAGTCATGGTGAGAAGCACAGGAATCTCAACAAGGTCCCCGGCTTCCAGGTTTCTCCCAACTCTTACCTGGAATGGGATCAGATGTTCCTCACCAACTACTTCTTCTTAGTAAAACCCCCAGCTGATTGTTTGTAGGACAACCCGGCCCCTCTGATCTCTTACCTGCGATTTTTTTCCCATCAGTTTCTGGAGCTCTGCCTTGCAGCTCTGCAGCTGGAGCTCCAGAGCTGCTCGCTCCTGCTGGCTGAGTTCAAACAGACGCTGCAGCTCCTCCAGCTCCATCCTCAGACCTTCACACTGACAAACACAGAAAACATCCCAGAGTACAATCACGTTGAGTTTGACAACCAAGTAAAACAGAAACTATGACCCAGGAGCTTTAAGTCAGCTACCTCCTGCTGGACCTTCTGGGCCATTTCCTCAGCCTGCCTCAGCTGGCCCCTCAGGATCCTGATCTCTTCCTGGACCTCTGAGGACTCTGGATTCTGCAGTTTGGGTACGGACTGGGACAGAGTGATGTACGGCTCGGCCTGTAGCTGCTCCTTCTCTTCAGTTTGACCCTCAGCTCTGACTTCCAGGTATGTGTCATCACACCTGAACATATGGTGATAAAGCTGTTAGAATTCAGCTGTCTATACCCAAATGTAATGCACACAATGCAAAAATTGAAATCTAAGTAAGTAGATTTTTCTTAAAATAAGAGCATTTTCTCTTGAATTAAGCAGTCAAGTGATACACTTTGCCAATGGAATAAGGCAATTTACATTTAAAATAAGAAAAAGCTACTGCTGTCTCTTATTTCAAGTGCATAATATCTAATTATCTTATTTTATACTTATTTTATGTTAGGAATCCAGTTTGTGTGGGTTGTTTGTGTGTTTTTCTCTCTCTACCACCAGGTCGTGCCCCTGCCTCGTTGGGCCTCCCTGAACACCTGCGGCTCGTTGGATCATTATCCGGAGGAGTATTTCAGCAGTGGGCTGTCACTAACTCGACGCCAGAGTGTTTGCCAGTTTTGGGTACTCTAGCCAAGCTGAGATTAGCTGAGTCTAACTGAGTCTTTGTTTCTCTGATTCTAATATTGTTTTTTGTATTTGCCTTTCGCCAGGAAGCCTTCCTGTGTAACTGGATACCTGGCCTTCTCCCCCTGGAAGGATTAACTGAGTTCACTGAGGGAAAACAAACTCAATTTAGGAGATTTTTACTCATGTTTAGATTGTTTTTGCAGTGCAGAACCTGTTTCACCGCTCACAGGAACCGAAATCAGAGTTTCAAATTGTGTTAACGTCTAAATATACTGGGGCCTCGTGTGTAAAGTGAGTTCACGTAGAAAATAATCTGCAACGCAACGTTTTACATAAAATTCTGGATGTATTAAAACAGAATCAAAAAATGTGAATCAGCAACAAAACTTTAAAATCCACAATAAGGAGCTAAAAAGCAACAAAACGGAACTTATAAAGTGAAAATGGGCTCCATTTAATCAATTTAAACGGAAGCTGATGTTTCTCCAAGAGTTTGAGCTTTAAAGATTTAAATCTGAAGAGTGAAAGTGAATCCAATCAATCCTCATACGACAGAGTAACACAGCTAATAAATGATGGAAGCAGCTTCAGTCTGATATTGTAAATATCCCTTCAGTTAGGGTTTAGATGTGTATCAGTCTGTGCACATAGGAGCATTTTGTAGTAGAAAAAGGTGAAGAATAATAAGATTTATTCCAGACAAGTCGGATGTGATGATTAATCAGGTGGAAAGGGTGGAGATGACCACGCTTGTCTGTTAATAGCTGTGTTAATGTTTAGTGATGGAAGTCTTGGCTGTGCTGGAAGGAATGAAAATCTGGATGTCTGAGGGTAAAGCGTGGTCTAATCTGACTGTTTCTTTGCGCCACTGGTGTCGACGTTCATCCCCACCACCAACTGTTAAGGCTGGTTTATACTCAGAAACCAGGTCGTCTGTGTGTGTGTCGCAGTGAACGCAGATATGCCCCGCCCCTTCCGCAGAAACACTGCTTCTCCTCTCCAAAAGTGTAGATGACCGCAGACAAGAAGCTTCTGATTGGTCAAATCTACATCTGCTCTACTCTATGCGTCTTTCCTGTTTGGTACCTTACCAGCTTGTTTTGTTTATATGACCGCCATTTTGTAAAACGTCTCATGAAGTTTAACCAGCTAGAAGAGCGAGGTGCGCGAGAACGCTGGGGCCCTTTCTCCACCTGGATGCCCGCTCTTTTTCGCCCTCATGTCCCTCCGTTGTCACACAAACTTGTCCTTTGCGTTTTTCCACTTCCTTACCGCCTTGGCCGTATCTAGACCCACAGCTAGTTCGTGGTTGTCCCTCTCGCATTGTGGCGTGGAATAACATAGCGCAGACCACGCTTCAATATTGGGCATAGATCAAAAATATCTGCGACAAGCTCACTGCGACACACTGCTACGGGAGTATAACCAGCCCTGCACTCTCCTTCACGCACGAGGCCCCAGGAGTTCTGGTTCCTCTGGACTCTGGATGGGAACCACTCACACGTCTCGTTGCAGTTGCTCCAGTTGGTTGCTGAGCTCTTTGTTGCTGCTGCTCAGGATCTGACGCTGGTCTGTCAGAGAAATTAACTCTTCTTGCAGCTGAGTCACCTCACCTGGACACACCCAGCAGAGACCAAACTGATGAGTTCAGTTTTTCTCCTCGGACAGACCCATTGATGCTGTTGCCGGGTTACCTGGCGCCTCCATGCCACGGCTCTTCATGCTCATCTCTGCTCTCAGCGTGGTAATCTCCAGCTCATACTCGGCGGTGGTGTCTCGCAGACGCTTCAGCTCCACCCTCAGGCGGCACAGCTCCTCCTGCAGGGAGGCGATGTCGTTCTCCCTCTCTGCCGCTGCCTCCTCGGCCGCCTGCTGCAGCATCAGCACCTCCTCCTGGGCAGAGCGCAGCTCCTGCTGAACCTCCTCCAGCTCACTCTCCTTCTCCTCCTCCAGGCTGCTCATCTCCTCTTGGACTGAGTGGAGCTGAGCTGCAAGAGTCAAACAGGTAGAGTTTTAAATCTAAGCCAAACAAAAGCAGATTTCCAGTTTGATCAGAGCAAAGTTTGGACAGGTCAGAACTTGGTGGTGGATTCCATCTAGAACCTGGGTTTAGTCCATCTGAGGACATTTCTACAGACAGTTTGAGGTCAGTGTTTGTCATGTGTGTCTCTTTTTCTCCTGGGATGTGAATGTTTGGACCTTGCAGCCTCTGGATCTGCCGGGTGAAGCTCTCTGCCTGATGAGCACTCGCCAGCCGCTCCTCGTCCAGCAGACCTTTGGAGGACATCAATCACACATTAACTCTGGGTCACTGCTGGACCTTGAACACCTAACAACCAGTCCTGCAGCTCCTCACCCTGCAGCTCCATGAAGCTCTCCTCATGCCTCTGTGAAACCTCACGGGTCTCGTCCAACTCCAGAACCAGCTGCAACACCTGACCTCTCAGCTCCTCCAGCTCCTCCTCTTCCCCCATCATGTCTCCCTGATCTTCATCCTCTGACTCCCTCTCCTTTGACTTCATGTCTTCCTCCTGCTGCCCTTTCTCCTCCTCTTCGGTCTCCTCCTTCTCCTCCATGGACTCCCTCTCCTTGGCCGTCAGAGTGTCAGCCAACATGACGGGCTTGTCCTCCTTCAGCTCACACAGCTCGTCTGCAGACAGACAAACAAGAAGGTGCCAACATGTTTTGGAGTAAAGAAGGTTCTTTGCTATGGCTCCCTCTGCTGGTAGAAAACACAATTTACACACAAGACAGGCTTAAACTGGAGGCAACCAGTCTGTTGCTCAGTTGTTCCTAAAGATGCTCCGACACCCATCCTGTAGTCCTTGTTAATTCTGTCAATTCTATCGCATGCACCAAATCCACGCTCTCTTCACTAAATCGGAATGAAAGCTACCCCGATTTCGTTTTTTTAGGAAATAAATCGTTATTTCCTATTTTTCTCCAGGGTATTGCTTTTTTTTGTTATTGCACATTATTAACATCACATTTGAGAAATTCACCACTGCATTTGACCCATCCCCTTGGGGAGCAGTGGGCTGCCACTGTGTGGCACCCGGGGAGCAGTCTGGGTTTATGGGTCTTGCTCAGGGACCCAGAGTGGCAGTCTGTGGGAGTGGAGCTCGAACTCCTAACCTCTGGATTCCAAGTTCAATGCCCTAACTACTAGGCCACCACTCCCGCTAATATTTTTTCTTTTCTTGGTTACTTTCTCTTCCATGGCTGGGCTGACAATTTGAGTGGTTCTCCATTTTAAAGGCACATCTACAGTCATCATGACTTGTTTTAAATTCAGGTTTTAAAAACGGCTAAAGCTAAAAAGTTTGTTTCCTGTGGGCTACCGTAATCAAAGATGTGTCTGCCATTGGGTGCACGATCACCTATGCGCTTATAATTGACTCATTCCAACTAGTGTTGCGCCGATGCCATTTTTCTACCCCAATACCGATACCTGGCTGTGCAGTATTGGCCGATACCGATACTATCTGTTTAAAATTAATGTGTGTGTATATATATGAAGAACTGCATACTACTTGGATGTAAAATAATTGCCATCATGGCTTATTTGTCAAGCTGCTGCCTACCTTTGTGAAGCAGGAAAAAGACTAAAACAAAGTGAATCCAGTAGAACTTTTTATTGCCTACCTGGAGTGGGTGACAATAGTTGAATAAACTTTTGGCTCTCAAAATGGTATCCGTGCCCTATTTGTTGGTACTTGCCGATACCAATACCACCATTTTAGTGCTGGATTGGGGCCGATACAGGTATCGGTATCGGTGCAGCTAACCCTAAGCTATGGAAACACTTTTTATGCATTACAAGACATGTTTATGAAAGCAATGCTTGATTTTTCCTACTAAAAACATATTAGTTAAACAATGTCTCTCTAAGAGCCCTTTTCCTGGACTCAGATCAAAGGTTTAAAAGGTTAAACTGCCATCTTTGAGCCTCCCAATGATCTAAAACCCTTTTTATCTAAGTACTGGGAACCCCTAAGTGGCAAAGGAAGAGTGTTGAGTAGCAGTGGTGTCAAAAATACACACATTTGTTACTTAAGCAGAAGTATAGATACTGCAGTTTAAAAACACTCTGGTAAAAGTTGAAGTATCAAATTTACCTTTTTACTCAAGTAAAAGTGAAAAAGTATGTGTTCCAAAAACTACTGAAAGTATAAAAGTATAAAGTAACCTTTTAAAAAAAAACGCTATATGAACTGAAAGCTAAATTTTTTGACTATTTCTATAAATTCTTTGAGATAGGGCCAAGGATGAGGGAGGTCTTGTTGGTCTCCATCTCCCGATACGCTCTCGCCTGTGTCCGATCTTTCAGACATTTCAGCATCTTTTTCTGAATCCATCATTGTAGCATGGCATAGACAATTCACGTTAGCAGTTTGAAGAACACCTGCTTGCTTCTAATGATTTCCTTTAGCTAACCAATGAGTGTTTGCGTTATATGACTCATCCAATCACACTAGTTTTCACTAGATGTGGGTGGAGCCAATGATCTGCATTGGATAGAGCACAAGACGTGAAATAAATATTTATAAACATTAAACGGAAGCCAAGAGTAACAAGTCACATTTGTTTTAAAAATGTAAGGAATAGAAAGTAGAGATACTTGTGTGAAAATGTTATGAGTAGATGTCAGAAGAAGGAAGAAAAATAAGTAATGGAGTAAAGTATAGATACCTAAACTGTACTTAAGTACAGTAATGAAGTATTTGTACTTCGTTACTTGACACCTCTGTGAAGATGTCATGGAAATAACATACAGATGGATTT